GTGGCCGCCCCGCTTGGAGACGCGGTCTCACGGAGCCTGTGCTCGCCGCCGTGGCGTCAACTTGGGCTTCTGCAGCTGGTGTGGCGTTTTTTGCTTGTAGGAGTTGGTGGAAACTGCGAACAGGGCACTTTGGGTAAGGAAAACTGAAGATTGCCGTTTCCTGTAACGTACAGGTAAAGCGTTTTCTTAAGGGTACTGTCGCATTTGCCCTAAGATGTGTTTTGTTGGTTGTTTTTTTCAACAAGTGTTTTATCCTATGAAACTCGGCAAAAAAGGTCAGACGTGTTGCTGTTAACTACGTTAGGTCCCTTGTTTTTAACTTGCCACTTTCAAACATACGATGTCTGATAGAGGATTTTATATATCCTTTTTTGAAGTTTGCTCGTACTTCGTAGCACACTCACATTTCTATATGAAAGGAAGAGCCTGTCTGGTTGTGCAAACGCTGTGGGTTTGGTGTTTTGTTTTGTTTGGTTTTTTTTTCCAAGTTAAACGCCGTTCCTTCTGCTTTCTCTGTGTGCACCGTTTCCGTCGTACCGGCAGCCTATCACGAGATCACAGCAACAGCTAAACTTTCAGGCTCCTGTTCAGCTATCTCCATGCGAGTGCTCCTTCGTGGTAACGCCACCATCTCCTCCTTTTTCAGGAGGATAAAACTATAGACAATTGGTCTCTGTTTACTTTAAAATCAAGAATTATCATGCAGATAAGAGAACGTGTAATATCTAGATTTAGGTGAGGAGGTGTGAGTGTTAACATGAACATACTTTTAAGTTGCATGTGGGATGAAAGAGTATGTGTTGGCCCTGAATCTTTGCGAAGGCTGTGACGGGTAGCAAATACCTATTGTGTATGTAAAAACAATATAACGAGTTTATGTGAACGTGTGATGACTGCTCTGGCCACCCTGTATAAGCATCAGTTTCTCCAGATCCATAGTGCCTTCAACTTGACGTGCGTGATTACAGTGGTTGCTCACAATAAAGAGTTCCCAATTTTCTACACAGGCAAGGACATGTAAACGGCACTGAGATTCTTCTGCTGTACATTGTGAAATGTCTCTTGAACAGAAGTTAAAAAAAATAATTGCACTGATTTTCTTTAATAAATATGTAAAGCATTATTTGCATGAGTAATTTTGATGTTGCTTTACAGATAAGATTCCTTACATTTGAAGATGCCGCTCTTTGGGAATATTGTTGTAATTAAACGGAATGGGACTGATGGAATTAGTTTTCCACTCACTGCAAGCTCTTGTTTATTCGGAAGGTGAGAATTAGTTGAGTACTTGCCTACATTAAAATAATATTACTGTTATTTTTCCTGCAGTTTATACCTTTTAATACTTCTTTGCAAAAATAAGTGTTTGTTTATTTATGAATTATGTACAAGGGAGGGAAGGTGATATTGGACTAAGGTTAATTGTAAGACTAGAAAGCTGAACTTAATTTTTGTTACTGTTTTTCGTCCATTCCTTGCCGGAACTCTTTTTTAAAGTTTCTGGCCAAAGGAAATCTGTGGAATGGATTGGAAGTAATACACAGTTGACAAGCAACTTCTTTTATCTAGAGGCAGTGTCCAGATTATTGACTAGAGAAGAGAACTGAGGTACATAGCTTGTATTCAACCATCTTCATTACA